ATCCGGCCCGCGATCATATTAATTTGACAAAGTGAAGAGTTGGAGTAAAATTAAAAAAGCAGACCTGTCCCACTACACGCCATGTAGGCGCTTTGGGGGGGGGGTGGCGGTATAGCTCCTACTCATTCTTAACCTCGACTCTAGATAGGGGTGAGTGGTTATCGTCAGGCCCGGAAGAGTTGGAGACCCCTGTTTAATCACAGTAAATTAAAATGTGAAGGAAGGTTAAGGAGAAAGCAGTCAAGTGCTGCTACTGTCTGGCCTTGGTTATGGTAGAGTTCAGACAAGGCGAAAAGCCGTTCATTTCACACTGGCATGGACGTTACTTCGTTGTCGGCAAGTCAGTAATCTCTCCCCCTTATTTCTTTTTCCTTTCTCTCCCGTTATTATTTGGTGCTTTCGATATGTCACGGCACACAGTTTGCGAAACACAGCTCTGGACACTAACGATAATACAGAAATGCACGGTTACAATTCCTGAAGGCGCTACGTATAATGAAAAGAGAATTCTGTTGGTCTGGAACTTCTGCTTCCAACGTGTTTTCATTTAATTTGCCTAAGCAACTCATGACACGACCTAAAACGTTTATTCATAACTTCAGATAAAGGATCACTTCAAAATGTATGATAACGCAGTTTTCATGTTCTGAAAAGTCCCTTATGCGTGTAAAAAAAAAACGACACAGGATTCCGGAAACGAATAAAAGCGTGGTATTTATCCTTAATTTTCAGCTATGAGTAAAGGAACAAAGAACACATGCCTGCTTCAATCACCTCGATCTCACTTCACCCGCGGTACTTTATAAAGACGTCAAGAATGCGGAGTGTACAACCAGTTCGACTGGAGTAGTTTCCAACCCAGCCAACGCGCTGCGATTAAGTTAATAAGAAAGTTGTACAACAAATTAAAGATCATGTCTCTCACGCCTGCAAGAAAGAGTCGGTTTAAGTTGAAACCCGCATAGCGTCAGACAGAAGAGTGAATAAGACAACTTTGCGTTGGGCGTCGAAGGAAGCAGTTACAGGTACTTCAGTCGCTATACCCGCTCTCAGTAGCCGAGATCGAACCCAGGCCCTCCCAAGTACAAAGCAGGAGTACTGGTTAATATTATCATTTCTGATATTGAAATCTATAACCATTTTTCATTAAAGAATTAGTAAAGATGAATTTAGTCAGGGCACAAGACTTAAGTGGGATAACTGAGAAACTGAACGTTTGCACCGTTCATGAATATTCAAATTTCACTGTAGAAGAGAATCGATTATTTGTTGTGAATATTAATCAGTAGTTCGTTTGGATGTTCCGCTGCAGAAGTCAGCCAGAAACGAAGAAAGAAGTTTCTGCAGATACTAAAATATAAATGCAGTGGTAAATACGGAAATAAAATTTCCTTCAAGCCTATGAAATCGAAGTTCATTAAATTTTACAAACACAACCTGTCTCTAACACAAAGATCAATTAGTTAGTTAATCTGTTGTTTACTTTAATAACCATATGAAATTCTTAAGTACACCGTGCTTCAAAATGGTTTCCCTTTTGTAGTGTTTCATATATACGACTTGCAACATGATGTTTCAGGCATTCTCTTTGAAACGTTTCTGGGAACCCACTACGACCTGGAACTGACATTACGGGGCGACATTTCCTAAGTAAAAGAATGCTGCTTATTCGCTTGGCATTTGTGTTTCAGTCCGTCAACGTCCAGCAATTAAGACAACCCGGGAGGCAGCTCACCCTACCACATAAAGATCGCTTTGTCCAGACGGCCTCAGAAAGCCACATGTATAACCAGTTCCATAAAATTCACATTACCAGAGCAGCATAATTAACTACTCCATGGAGCAGAGTCCTTAAGAATGTAATAGTCACTCAAGTCGTCAAGAAATTACCAGGCTTTTATAGAACCCATGGCGTGTTCACTGGAGCCCGGAAATGGAACCTGCCATGAATCAAACTACTTCAGTCCACAAACGCTAACCGTATTTATTCATGATCCATTAATATTAACCTCACATCTACGCCTAGACGTGTCAAATGATCGCTTTCATTCTAGATTCCCTGCCAATCGCCCTTCCTGGCTCGATCACCAACAAACGTACTGCTTGGAGAGCAGGAGGCCTACAAAATACGAAGCTCCTTGCTACTTCCACTCCTCAGAGCACTAATCCAAACGCCCTTAATCTAATCTACGTTCTTCGTTCAGAGCGAGAGCCGACGTTACACACAACTTAAACCAACAAACCTATTATAACCCTTTACAGCACCTGCATTCTATATTTACGGGTTTTATAAGAAATTAAGTGCACAGAGCATTAAAAGCATTAGCCAGATGACCTTTCAAATGGAGAAGTGTTGTACATTCCTTGACGTACGAACTAAATCATTAAACAAAATTCAATTCAGCTTCACTTCAAATGGTTTAACACGTGTACGCTAGAGATCGGAAAAGAATTCTGAACCATTAATGGTTGCAAGAATTTATCTAATTTAATTAGGTCTTAATTTACTCGTGAATGTAATTACTTTTGCCTCCATATTGATACCGGGGTTGTTTCCTCGGAGGTAAAGTGGCCGAGGCGTGAAGCTGGCCACTCACCTCCATCCAGTGCATAGGGCTACGCCTCCAGTGCAAAGTCTTCAGGGACAATCAGCCGGGTGAGAACGAGAAGGTATAACCCACCTCGCAGCGCCGACTTACGGCTACAAACTGAGATCAAAACATTCAAGTGTTCGAAATAAACACATCTTACACATTTTTCTCAATCCATCGTCATTCCTAATAACTGTCGTTTCCAGTGCATTGGTATTTCCTAACTGGTTGAGAAATCGTCGTAGAATAAATGCTAATTAAACATGGCCCAATCTTCCTCCCAGCCTCTCTGCATGTAGCAAGAGGAAGATGCTAGAAGTTATTACGTCAGTGGTGAGAGAACACGGCGGGGCACAAACTCGACATCTGAATGATCGGGGAGTTGTTTGCGTCAGTGACGCCGGTGACGCCTTTCCTGTCACAAGATCGTCAGACCGATAAGTGCGCACAGCATCACTGTTTCAGGATGAAATTCGAAACCGGCGTTCCAAATAGCAAGTAGCTGGCTACTTTGAGAGACAGATAACAGCCTCGTCTCACTCGTTGCACCGGCTGGAAGCTGAACAGATCTAAGATGAATAAAGTGAATGCGTAATGAGCTGTTGTTCGTGTTTATCTGTCCGCGTGTTTAACCTTCCAAAGAACGTAACAGGAGCAGTTAAATAAATTAAATTCTCGTCTGCGTCGGTCCACTATGATAACCTCCACTTCACACGAAGCTCAATTAAAACAGTAAAGTATCCGTGATTTGAGTTTCACACGGCGGCGAGTATGACGATGGCTGTCTCCTGGTTGTTGTTCCGTGTAACCTGGTAGAGGTTTACCGACGTTTCAGAGATGCTTGCTGTCCGCATCATCTGGACTAAGAGTCCTATCCTGAGCCAGATGAATGCGCCCTGTTTCTGTAAGATCCATTTAAATATTACCCTCTCGTTAACACCTAGGTTTCCCAAATTGTCGCCTCCCTTCAGATTTCAGACTAAAATTTTGAAAGCATTTATTGTCTCACATGAGTTCCACACGTCCAACCCATCTCATATTTCCTGATTTAATCACTCAAACAATGTTATAAGAAGTGTTTTTTTTTAGTGTTCTGTCTGACGACAGGTCCATATGAACAGGATCCTTCCATCCTTTTCTCGGACTGGGACCTGTTCATATACGTTTTTGGCAGATGATCCAGAAGTGGTTTTCCATTGCCTTCTTCTGTGTGTGAATGGGGTAATTGTTGGGATGCCACGGAGAAACCGGGGAAGCCCCCGGAGGAAAACTCCGTGTTGCCTAGACCACGGCCTTGCCCAACACAAGTTATAAATTCGGGCACCGCCGGGAATCGAACCCGAGACCCCAGGATTACAAGGCCAGCGTTCTAACCGCTAGACCACCGTGGCAGATATGAGAAGTGTACAAATGATTAATACCTCACTATGTAATTTCTCCCATCTTAATACTACAAGTCTACAACTGCAATAACAATGTCTGTACATTCTTTGGGAGCTATACGTGTAGGTGAAAGTTTCTGAAGCAGTTGTAACTTCATCAAAAAATATTTAGCTTTTAATTTCGGTCTTTGGGTTACCAACGTTTCGGAGGAACCTACCACCTGCATCTGCACAGTATAAGTGAATAAAGTAGATATGTTGGTCGAGACGATCTCAATCCAAACTTCGTGTGTCACTGAACGCAATGTGTGATGCAAAGCGACCTCGTGCGGTGGGAAATCTGCATGCATGTGGGTAAAACAACGCAAAAACACGTCAACTAATGCGTGTCATCCCGCTGGATAACTCGTCCCAAACCCGTTCCACGTTGCAGACTCTGTAATGAAGCCATGGCATACTAACCTTGACAAGCCGTTTCCTACAGGAAAAGGAAACGACTGCTAGTGGAGTCGATAACTAGAAGGTTCTTCACATAAACCTTCAGCCTGACTGCCTGTTCTTATTAAGAAGGAGCTTCTAAAATTGTTAATCCTTTTGCACATTCGACAGTACCACGGTTTCTACGGGAGTCGTTACGAAATCGTGTTTCGTCTACGTCACTACCTTGCGAGTAAAAATTACAATTTTTTGTTTGTAATTATCAAATGTAAAAATCAAATCCCTCAGGTCAGCTCATAAATGTTAATTAATTCATAAGAACACCGGGTAGTAATTAAATTCCTTCCTTTCGGGTTTCACCCGATTACACGGCATTTTACAAGTTATGAACACATCTATCAAGCATTACAGCACCAGCAACCAACCAAGGACTACACCTTTCATTTTTAACCCTTCGAAGTCGTAAAAACCACCACCATTTATCAGGGATCGCGTTATGAAGGGAGGGGAATCTCGCACACACACGGAGGCCAACAGCCGCGGGAATTACGTCATGCTAGGTCGGGCCGGTTTCGGCTCCCTGACTCACCTTGCGCCTGCGGACGGTCTCGGGGACTACGTCACTCCTCTTGATCCACACCTCATCCGTAGAATCATAGTCAATGGTGGAACTGGAGGAAGCCTGAGATTTCATCTCTATAAGCGAGCTGTCGAAGAAGCGTTTATCCAGGTGCGGGGACTGAAGGGGAGATATCCGGTGGTTGAATAACATGGGTGACAGCGGGGGGAAAGCCCCTCCGGTATCCACGGTGGGAGACGAAACCGTGTGACGCGTAGCCAGCGACGCCGCAGGTGAAGAATGCTGCTGCTGCTGGACCAGGGGATCCTTCCGGCTGCCAGCACTGCTATTGGTGGTCTCGAACGACGACGTCGAAGACGTTGATGTCGTATCCTCTCGACCGGATGTCGTGGTCGTCGTAGTCGTAGCTTGGTCATTCCCGTCATCACTCTTTTCATCATCATCATCATCATCATCGTCGTCGTCGTCGTCATCACTCTTTTCATCATCATCATCATCGTCATCGTGCTCTTCATGCCGAGCCGCCTCCTCTTCCTCCTCCTCGACCTCTCTGCACTCCGAAAGCCGTCGACCCTCCAGGATTGGCCTCAGGTACGGCGACCTCAACTCCTGCTTAGGCAGGCGGTTCACGTGATGTAAGAAGTAGTGCTGGAACCACGCCATGTCTTCGTCCGAGTCATCGGAGTTGCTGTTCCCATGCAATAACTCCTTTAGAGCCGCCAACGAGCTGATGGTGTTGTAGTTTGTGGCTGTTGGCGACACATCGTCCTCATCGTCTAGTGCCTGCTCCTCCTCGGCTGCTTTTTCCGCTTCCTCTTCCTTCGTGCGGTCGTCATGGTTATCCTTCTTGTTACGGCCTTCTTTTGTTTTTTCCATTTATTACTGTTAACGTTGCCGCTTATACTGCGGACGCGACACTGAGACAATCTGCAACGATATACGATAGTTTCTAACGTTGGCAAGTTCCTCTTTTTGCTGCCGATAAAGAAACCGAGCCCGTAAAAAACAAACAATTCTGTGTCATTCAACTACAAGAGTTATCTTGCAGAACAAACATGGCGCTCCCATTCATCAGAATGCTTTAACAATATCTCCACAACAACAATCATCTTCAAACAGTTTATATTTAGGCACCAGATATCATCAGCCTGCAGCACTTGAACGCTTTTTACACACACGCACATTCACGACATAGAAACCGACAAAAATCCAAGGTCACTAAGATGCGGGAAGGAATCAAGTACTGCAGATTGGACTTATTACGGAAAGATTAATCAAATCTTCTTCAAATATAAATTTATACTCGAAAGTTCAATGAGTGTTAATAAAAGAAAACTGCTTCATGTTCATACACAAACATTTTTTAAGTACCACGTGTAATTATTGTAAAAACTGTTAGTACCCTACCAACGTAAATGGTTTTGAAGGTCTTTTGACGGCCCTGCAAATTGAAAATTTCTGTTGAACTTTTCAAAAAGTTACAAGAATTATATAGGGGCTGCCATGTTTTGGCTGTTCATTATCACACGAACCATCATTGCAAATTAGTTATCACGTATCACGTTATTGTGAATTCTATTATCGGAGTGAGCACAACTAGTAGTGGGTTACCGACCTAAAAATCGCAAATGCTGAGGCAAAAACAATTAAACACCACAGTCACACAACACACAAAGCAGGTTACCGGCAAACTCGGAACAAAAAACGAAAAGCTAAGAAAAATTCAGCCACGATCCCACTGGAGTTTCACAGAAACACAAACACTAGACTGGCACATGATTTAATTTTTCACAAGCGAAGAACTCACCGAAACACAGCTATGCCACACACTACAAACAGATAATGTTTGTATACGCACGAGACGATCATGGCGTATTAATGTCCCTAATATCAATCATTATCCAAAATCCTAACATGGAAGCACACTCCTCTCCGTCAGAAACGTGTAGAACATTGCAACGCGGTGCCAGTTGTGGCGGCTTGCCGATCATAGCGCTGGAGTAGCCTTACGGAAGCGAGCAATCGCAGCCAACGTGACAGATTCGAAAAATTCTAGTACGCTAGCGTATAATTTAGGGATTGTCAAGTCTACCCTAACACAATGCGGTATTTAGACTGACCGATAGAATGTATGCGCGTATTAACCTTGGAGAAATTACCCTTTTACCACACAGGTCACTACAAGTACCACCTGCTTTAACACTCAATAACTTTACATTTTGCCCACAAAATGTAAGTTACGCGTCTCTACTCATTACTCTACAAAACAAAACAATTGGAATAGTAACGAATCATTAAACAATCCTTTAATGAACAGGAAGATATTTTTCGAGACACCGTAACAGCTAACTGTGTTGTTGATTAATTAATTACTGCCTTCCCTAAGGACCCCGTTTTCAACCACAGACGTTATAAAGTACTGAACGAGATAAACACTTAATAATCAGAAACATGAAAAAGCATGGATTTGGAAAAATGCAGTATTGGCTTGAGTGTAGGCCCCACTAACCCAGCATTCAACTTGATAAGACTGAGGAAAACCACCAACATTGGCAGTCAGGATACTTAATAACCCGGCCAAGATTGAAACGAGCACCTCATAAATACATACTGAGCACCGATTATGTTAATTAATATTATATAAATGGCAGTAGCAATATCGTAGACCTACAACCAATGAAAACTGATCAATAAAACCAAAATTACTGCCAATTATAAAGCTGTGCCACTATACGCCATGTAGGCACTTGGGGTGAGTGGAGATTCTTGACCTCAGCACTAGATGGGGTGAGTGGTCGGCATCACGCCCCGGCCGGCTTTACCCCCGGGAAAGGACCCCGGTACCCATTGGATATGAGGCTGGGTGGGCCCCATATTCGGTCTGGACCAAAACAACTACTCGACTTTTTGAAGGACTCGACCTTGAACGAGGGGTCACACCATTACAACTCCTACGCCTGCACAGGATAATATTACACAAGACACTGATCTTATACATCCTTGTCTCGAGTGGGAAACGAACCCAAGCTCCCAGCGATCGAGCTATAAGGACCACTGTGACTGGCACAAACATCTGTAAATTCGTTCATACATATACGAAATATTTTAGATAGTGTCAACTAGAAAAGGATTACACGGTGAAAAATTATCCAGTAACAATAATGTAGACGTTCCTGTTTTTATTTAATATAGACCTATGTGTATCTATATTATAAAAATTTGTGATTCCTCATTGTCGTCAATAAATTACGTCATCAACAATGCCGAGTA